GGCGGCGTGTTCTGGAGGTGGCCCACCTGCGGGCATAAAGGCAACTTCACCCATCAATCTCCAGTTGGAAGCTGGCAAAATTTTTGTACATTGACATCACTCGATCATAAACGTAAATTTATTGGACAATTTTCTCTTTACTGGGGAAACAGGGGATCTTTGATAAGCACACGACTTCTGACACTCTCACACTCGAAGAGCTTGGGGAGTGAACAATGGGTAGGTGGCAGGTGAGTTGACAGGTAGACAAAATATTTTTAGCGCCTCAAAACGTGACCTGTCAAGCACCGTTGTATAAAGGGTTGCCTACCAATTAGGGGCGAATGTCGCACGAGTAACTTCGTCATATGCAATGTCACACCTCGTGTTCATGGGCTAAAATGATCGTCTTATACCCTCTAAATGCCATAGACGTGTGTAACATTTGTTTAGAATCAATTGAAAACTGAACATAATTTGTTAACACATTGTTTCAGTTTCATTGTTAATCTAAATTAATCGAGCAGTCTATAGCAATAAATTAATCCATCTTTGCTCGCGCTTATGTACGTTATTCTTGTGTTAGGTTTTATGTTGCCATTATTTTATAGATATTGTCTTCCGGGCTGATAGTTCGCGGTCCAGTGGGAATTCTACCGCTTCGACAGACATCATTAGTGACGGTGTGGTAATCAGTGAAGCATTCGCTTGGAAGGCTCCCGATTGTGATTGTGTACCGTTGTTGAGCACCAAACTTTAGAAGAACGATTTACAATGGGCTACAGCGTACGAGCCTAAAAGGGAATATTCATATTGACATCGATATTGAGACCCTACATTGAGCAACTTTTTTTTTTTTGTCAGTTATAGTTAAATTTTATGCACTAATACACCCAATAGTTATTATTGAACTCTACCACTTTGTAGATGTAATATTGCAATAAGATGACTTGTTCATTCAAAATTTTTGTTTAAAGTTGATTACAGTATCGGGAATCAAATCACGAAGTATATTAATAGTTGTGATTATATTAATTTAAATCAGGAAAGATGTGGAGAAAATGCAACGTCCATGTCAGGAGGGAAGTGTTTGTAAAGGTTATGGCTTGTTGCAGGAGAGGAGGGGGTCAAAAGCAACATTTTACGAACCAATAGTTTGAACGACCGGTTTCAAGAGTTCGTTCGGCTTATTGATCAACGTTCGGGCTGTAGCGGCTGGCGGGTTGCAGCTTACTTCACTGATAAGGGGCCGTGAAAGGTTATCTTATTATCGAAACGTTACTTCCAAAGAGCATGGTTTATAGGGTAGTGATTTACGATGGTTCACTAATCTTGAGTAAATGTTACAGATTCTCATCGAGATACAGTGGCAATGCAACATAACAGAGGTCGTGGGCATGTTTCTCAATAGAGAAGTAAGTAATAAAATGGATTATCAGACAGAATGTACATCTATGACAACTGATTCAGACAATGTGGCACAAGATGCATAATACACTGAGAACTTTCATGAGTACCTTTCAAATATGAAAACGTTCTCGATTTATCACGACTTTAAATTAAAATGAAAACAATTGATTTTCCCAAATTCTAGTATTTTGCGTTCATGAAATACAGGAAATGAATACTGTATTAAATATATTCCACGGTACATGTTCTCTACTCGTATACTAATTTTCACTACAGTGTAAGAAATCTGAAACAAACTTAGCATCTTCAAGCATTAGTACTGGAAGGTGAAGATCAATTTGACTACCCGTGTCAAATTTCTTGCTTCATTCTTTGAAAATTGCAACTCATACATCGTTCAACTAAAGACTCTTTGCCTCGTTACAATTCTCACTTTACATTCTATTTTGGACTAGAACTCTAATTGTATTATCTCGGTTTACAGAAAGTTATCACAAACATTGTGTATTTTTTCCTTGCCGTAGTCCGGAGATTTTTTCCTCGTCTTGTAAAAATAATTGTTCTCTTACCGATAAATGATTCGGACGTAATATTGCTAATTAATGATTCCGGACGCGTCAACAGATAATGCGAGTATTCCCGTAAGTGTAGTGCATTTCCTCCTCAGAAGGTGGCGGTGTTCTTCCTGTGGTAGATGGTGAGATCCGGCGCCGATCTACCGTCGGCCTACGGGGTTTTCCCCAACCAGGTATCTCCCACCAGCATGGCACCCCTCCAGCCGGGACTAGCTTTAAGCTTTCGACCGGTCTTCCGGTATTTGTGGCAGTGTAGTGCATGAAAATGTAAGAGTGTGTAATGTGTGAGGTTAAGACAAGGAGTAGGAAGGAGAGATCACACGCGATCCATGACCCGTTAGTTAGGGTACCACGATTAGACCGGCCACAAAATGAACCCACACAATCCAGATTTGCTTTTCGCCTTCTAATGAAATGTCATGAAACATTCGCGCATTTCGAATATTTTTGTGGTTAGTTGACCAAGTTTGTCGCCTTTCTTGAGTTTATAATATCTATATAACATATAATTAATTAATTATTGTAAAACACCATGAAAATTTTAAAAGTTGTAAAAACATTTTGAGTTTGAAGTATTCCAAATCAAATTCATTGCTTTTAATAGTAAAAAGCAACCACTCATCTGCGAATCATCAACGATACCCTTTCCATAAGTAAAAAATAATATCTGCGCTCTTTATGAAATGAGAAAGAGGCAAAGCAATGTCCCGCCAGTCACAAATGTTGAAATAGATAATTATTTGTATATTAAATGATTTTAAGTGAAAAAGTCACATTGTTTAACTCATTTGTATTTGTATTCCCTTTAATATTTTTTTCAAATGTTTAACACAACAGTTTTATGTAAAATATAATGTTTGAATAAAAGCATATTCATACATTATCATTTACTTCATACTGTTTATTTAAGAACTCATACACACTATTTTTGCCTTTGAGAAGCCTGAAATGGATTTTAGAGCCCAGATATTCTGTCTGAGGTTAAGTTTAAAGTTATATTTATTTATTTCTCACTTTAGTAGACGATAGATCTATTCTCTTTAGCAGTTATTGTTTAAAATTGGCAATGATAACGACAAATAAAAAATACAAACACTTTACTTAAAATAATTAAAAATGCCAAAGATATCTTATCACAACACCTATACTTTACTTAAAACCTCGAAAAAACAAAACATTTAGGTAAAATAATATTGGAAAACAATCTAGACGCGTAACTTCTTAAATAAGTGGAATGGTGAATCGGAAAACATGCAACAGTTTTTTCCATTTTTAATTTAATTACTGAAGGAAGGTACATTAGGAGGAAAGTTACATATTCCAAATCTACTCGCCAATATCTTTAATTTGCACGTGCCCTTGCAATATTCTGCGCTCCCTATATTAAAGGGTAGACGCACGACTGATTTATTGTTCATCTAGTTTGTCAGCAGTCTTAATTAGACTTCGATTTTGGACATTGATGTGCTTTTTACTAATCTAACGTAACATTCGAAGTTAATAATGAATTCACTTCATATGACCACATTAATAGTGCAAAAAATCCTTATTTTCACCAATAGAGCCTATACAATTTTCATCTCGTGCAAGCCTAAAAATGTTTATTCGGTAGAAAATACATTAGAAAGCGATCATAGTCAGAAAGTTAAACCGAAGCAGAAATCTGTATTAAATAAAAACTTCGAATTCCTCCGCTTCAGAAGAGTAGACAATTTGCCACACTACCAGTCACACATGTTGAAATAAAAGTTCATTTCAGCGTACAAAATAATACTTGGCGAAAAAATGTACAGCTGTCCGAGCTCCTGCATTTCTGTCTGTTAAATATTTCTTACTCATTTTTTCCAGTCAAACATTTTGAGGTAAAATAAAATGATCGCAAAAAGCTATTTCCTCGACAATTTATACTTCCTATCAAAGTGTAATTATACATTCAATTTTTGCATTTGAGGCGTCTAAAATAGGGCATTTTAGAGACAAAATATTCTTTGCATAAACATGAATCTGCTGTGGAGCTTACAATACGACGAGAACAGCGGCCATTACCTGTCTGCCGCGGGGTGCCGGCGGGCGGGCGGGGCGCGGCCCGCGCCCAAACTCGATGCACGACAGGCGACTGTCCAGCAGCAGCAAGCAGCCTCGAGGTCCAATAGTACCGTACGGCCAACTCATGGCGAGAGAGCGACAGGGGACGAGCGACGAAGAAACGACGTCGGCGACTGGTGCCTTGACGGTGGCAGTGCAACGGTAGAGGACGAGCGACGAAAGTTCGATTTCTGCGACTAGTGCGTTGATGCAGGCGGTACAGCGTCAGAAGACGGGCGACAAATCTTCGTGCCTTGTCGATGGCGCGCAATGATAGAGGACGGGCGACGAAAGTTGGATATCTGCGACTGGTGCCTTGATAGCGACAGAGGACGAGCGAGGAAGGATCGACGTCGGCGACTGGTGCCTGGGCGAGTCGACGCCTCTCCTTTTAGAGCGATCGCGACCCAAGGTGACGCGAACCAGGGGATCACGCTACCGCCCCCCTAGCCCCTCTCGCTCTGTTCCCCTCACCCTCCGCACGCAGCAATCTGAGTCAGCCTGAGTACATGTGTGTACTGGCGGCGTGTCGTGCTGATAAAGTTACGAGCTCCGCTCCCCCCCTCTCCCGCGGACCCCGCTGCCTCCACGAGCGATGCAGAACGTGCTGTTGATATTGGCATTTGTTACGTTGCCGCTAAATGGAACCTTCTTCGCTCAACCTTTTACGAGTGGGTTATTGACGGAAGCTGATTTGATCCTCATGATTATTCACTGACGTACGTTATTGACGTAATGAATAGTGTAATTTTAGAATATGTAAACACGCGTCGTTTGCTACCATTGTTTTCATGTTGGCAAGTCTTTAATACCTGAACTAATTTTAGGAATATGTCGCTATGGTTTTCAATGTTTCTGTTGACATGCTATTTCTGAATTTCAAGTTTTTTTTGTTGTTACCTTCGTAACCGAAACGGAAAATTCCGATTCAAAACTTACTTTTGTTACAGTTTTATTTGTTCAAATGTTTTAACTGGAAAGTAAAATGACGCCAACTGTAGTTAAGGATTTCCACCATATTTTTTTGATGCGCAACAACCCTAAAATTCCACGCGAGACAATTCGCAATATTCTTAGAATGTTGCGGCGTGTACTAAGCGAGTGTTTAGTGATTTCATCTGACAAGAATATATTGTCTTCGTTCTCGAGAAATATTCTGTGAATGAGAATGTGGAAAGCGATAAGGAAGCGAAGGGAAGGAATTCCCAATGAAATTAAAATATTGTCGTGACTCAGTTCCTCTCGGTTACTAATGTGTCTTGTGGTGAAATCCCTATGAATTTCGACTAAATATCTACGAAATAAAAACAGACAATCATAATCTAATACTATTTGCTGAATCTTAAGAAACGCTTAAAACTATTTTTTGTATTTTTGTGTAGATTAATTCGCATAAAGAATCATCAATTATTTTTCTTAGGTTACTGCTCACAAAACTTTGTTTTACTTCACATCCTTCAATACAATTGTTAATACAAGTGTGGATATGTTTAATTTTTTATTTCATCACTTAACACGTTATTGATATTTATTACTAATAAAATAATTTGATCATGATTTTTTTAATGCCGGCAATCGATGTTGTGGATCAAATCTTTGGAAAAACTGGGTGACTAAGTCGAGAAGGAAACTAGTACTACCTTCGTAATATTAATTAATGTAAGTGGCTACGTGATAAATTGTGTGTGTGAGTGCTTTTTATGTTAATTTTTTGATCCGCCCTCGAACAATGTGTCTCGCAGATCTCGCGATTGATCAGGAAGCATCTTAGTCGTAAGACACCGTGTTATTCCCAGCTGACATTGCGATAGAAAATGGAAAGTATCGTTAGCGGAAATAAAATTCACATGATAAATTCCCGCGCTTGCTGTAATCGACCCTTCATGAAAGTGAACAATTACGATGACAACTTTTCAATGTTTTAGAAATTGGAACTGAGGGAATCAAGCAGACAATGCATCTGTCGAATAAATAATATTTAAAATAACGTAGAATGAAATGCAGAGAAATGTTTACATTTCACTACATTTAATGCATTTCTCATGCTATTAAAAACCAAAGATTTCTGGAGGTTTTGGATAAACTAAAAAATTCTAAAAGATATGTTGCGACATAACACATTTTCACTCGATTTTGAGAGTAAAAATTTTGAGGGGAAATGGACGAAATCTAAGAGTTCTTGAACGAACATTTCGTCGGTGCAGAAGACACGTAATACATAAAAATGTAATCATTTAATTAGGTAAAGCAATGCAGCCTAAAATAGTGTATTTTTATAAAAAAATACAGTTCACAAAACAGCCCAGATATAGAGTAAAACACTATGTCTATGTCACCGAAGTAACTAGCTCCGCTCAGTTACGAATATTTATACGTTAAAATCTACAAAATGAGAATATTTGAGATGTGGCACTTTTCTTGTCCACCGAGTATTTGGGGGAAAAGGGAAGGGTTTTCTCGTCCCAAGGTGAATTATGAGTCGGATTGACTTTATGGTAATCAAGAAACGGAAAGAGTAGCAGACTACAGAAGCCTCTAGCTATAGTGACACGTCAAAGCCTCCTAGAATGAATTGATCCTGTTGCGCGTGGATCGTCCACTCGTCAGGTTGCTGCCTGCGCGTACCTCATAGAAGTTGTCGCGTCCGTCGGAGATGGTGCTGACGGAGTCGGAGTGGATGCTGCCGCGCCGGAAGTGGAAGTGCGACGTCTTCTCGCACGTGGTGCAGCTGCAGAAGCCCAGGAAGAGCACGGCCGTCGCGCCCACCGCCAGCCACATGTACGCCGACTGAATGGTGATGCTGGAGATGATCACCACGATGGACGCCACCAGGATGAGCGCCGCCGTCAGGCTGATGGACAGGCTGCTCTCCTGAAACACACCCGCATCGGCGGTTCACCCACGGCCCTGTGTGGACTGGTGCCGTAGCTAAAGAGGCGGGAAGACTTCACAATCGTGGGCGTTGCCAGGTTTCACGTCGGGGAGCGGGCTCTAATGGTACAGCCAGCAACGGAGCAACGGATATTAATGGCTCCTAAATATGGCCAAAGTATTAGGTTATATTATAATGCTGAAATATTTAACATTGATAATCAAAATGAATGAGGAAATAAACTGTAAACTTTGCGATTAAAAAAAGTACAAATATTTTAGAATATTTAAACTGTTTATAAAATGATTGAAGGATCGTAACCAGTAGAATCACTAAGCTTGTGCTTTGTTAGAGGGGAATCAAGCTGATACAGCCATATCAGAAAATTCGACTGAAACTGGATAATAATTAATTCCTAATTTTAATTGCCTTAATTTTGAATTATATGTCACCCATTTCTGTTTAGAAAACGACTGTGTTCTGGCTTGATGTTCAGTCAGCATACTCGTAAGCTATTTTCAGCCCGACAACCGGAGTATGTACATCAGAATTAATTGCTAAATAATTGATAATCCACTCTCACAATTGCGAATTAATTTCCACCAGTTTTCAATACGAAAATCGAGTGTGTGCTGACCTGAGACCGTTACACAACATATACAAGCTACATTTGATCCGAAGCAAGAAGGAAATGACGCTAGAATGAATTCTTAATCAATTTTTCTGTTCTTAAAGGACGCATTTACAAGTTCCCAATTCTTTACCCTGTGACGTCTGTGAAAATAAAAATATCAACCCCAAAAAAGTGATTCAAATATCGCTTGGTGGACTACATTACGAACTTCTTTTAAGTGAATGTTATTTGAAATATTCTAACGTTACAATACGGAAATTCTTCGAACTGAACTAAGACAAACTCGAAATAATCATATCAAATGATTGTTTACGTTTTAGACAACTATCTCTATCATCCTTATCTTCTTTGCAATGACTTCTTTGCAATTCAAAGTGCAGCAGTTTCTTAGCAAACTTGGACAAAAATTAAGAAAATTCATACAGTTACAACGCGTCGGTGCCACTTCACAGTGAACTGCTACAGGCATCTTCTACAGTGAACTACCAGAGACACAGAATATCAGAATGAGTGGTAGCGTCTCTTTTCAGAGTTAGGATACGGTAGGGAACATGGGCGATGTGTGACCCCCTACCCTGCTTGCACTCTCTCATTAAGATCCAATAACGTGGAAAGATAGGTCAGCAACTGTTATATTAAAACGCGGTGTCTCATGAACAACTAAGTTCCCACATCCTTACCTTTATCTTGGTGAAGAGACCCTGGTCGTTGGTCATTGTGGCGGTGGAGTACTGCTCTCCGCAAGGGGAGCTACGCTCTGGATCCAGGGCGGAAGACCTGCAACACACGAGAGCCACCGTTCAGAGTGCGTCCTGGCCACATGGGATGAATAGCAGAGACTTTCATCAGGAAATAGCTTTGTAAACTGATTACGATTCATAAAAAGGCTCGCCGACATTGGATACGCTCGGCTAAACAGTTCGAAACTGTTTTTTTATAGAATACTCGATTTAATTGAAATCCCGAGAGAAACTAAAAATATCCAATTACGTAGTATAAACATTTTTATAAAAACGATTAAATAAATGTCGTTGCCCTAGCAAATGATACGGTACAGTTGTAGAGAAAAGAAAAGTGAATCAATTGTACCATTTCGTACGATAAGGTAAAATACAGTGGGCTTCTCCAGGTCTCTAGGGTTTTTGGTTTATCACGATTATTAACCTCTAGGTTCCTTGGTACGAAAAAGACAACATGGAAAATGTTACTAGATAAAATCGTCATAAGAGATTAAAGAGTTGATAAACAAATTAAGAGTCATTGAACGTCACAATTGACGCTATGGAATCATTAAACACTATTTTTGTTGTAACTCGTTCAATTTAATGGAACAATAATGAAATAATGATTATAACAAGATGTTTTCTTTAATTTGAATACAAACCCATCTACATTTAAATTTTTCGCGTAAATAAATGGACGTCAGAACAGGGGAAGTAATCACGCATAACGGTTATTTGCAACAATCTTTGTATTAACGTCAAATAAAAATTATTGTGGACTAGCTGACGCTCAGGCATCTATTTATCACAATCATGTATTACGCAACCCTGCCCTTCCCACTCAATTCACTCTACTCTTCTGCCCGCACCTCCCATCTCGCCGCCTTTACGCGCCCCGTTACACCACACCTTCTACCCCTGCTTCCTTTCCTGTCCGTTTTGCCAGCATTACTAATAGAGTGTTACTCGGGCAATTTTTATTTAAGCTCCGCCCCGCCTTTACGTGACGTGATCCTCTGATAACAATGCTGCTGTCTGGCAACAGATGCCCCTAATTGGGGGTTTCCAGTAACGAAAATTCGCAGGTTTGTTATTATTATTATTATTATTATTATTATTATTATTATTATTATTTTAATTTTTATTTTGCAATTTGTTTGCGAACAAAGATTTGGAAAAATTACATAAATTAGTGCTTATTTGTAAGTGAGTGGAGTAGAGTCCTTTGACCGTACTCCACTAATATTACTAAATTAATCTTCTTCTTCGATGGCGCTACAGCTCGCGTATGCCACCTACGAGAATACCAAGGAAAGCAATGGAAGAGATGTTTGGAGGCAGACCGACTGGAAGACCTAAGAAGAGATGACTGAATGGCGTCATCCAAGATGCAACCGAGCAGATGGGATAAGAATATCGAGAAGAGCTGCGGAAAGCAGAGAAAATTAGAGGCAAATTATTGGCGAAGCCCGAACTAAATTAATAGTAGTTCACAAATAATATATACAGTAATCAATACTAGAACAATCAATTTACAGTCGATATGCAGTTTCTAAAGTACGATGTCGTTTAAGTGGATGGTGGTGTCATTTCGGAGATTAACAAAATTTGGGAAAACATTTTGGATTCGCGATTCTCCTTATCTTTTTTCTTGTCTTTTCTAAAAAAGAAATGCTGCAAAGTTGGAGATCTTTCGCTCCACTACTAGCTCAAAGTTATTGTGTCACATGCACCCGCTCCCCACACTCATTTTTATATTCGAGAGCAAAACAACAGGCGTACACCATATAACATGAAAGTGACTCTCTTCCATCAATTTCTACTTGACACGAAATTCTGAAGAGAATTAATGTGAGTGTTCATTTCATTTTATGTTCTACGCCTTTTCAAGTGGCGTGGCTTTGAGTACTAAGGTTACGAATAAAGCTGCCTCCTTATTATAAAAGGATTCCCCATTTGCTGTGCCACTCATTTTCCAGCTGTTCGTTCACAGGCCTTTGATGGCTGGCCAAGAGTTGTTCCTTTTGCCCCCGAGCATTAGTCTTCGTCAGGGTTTAAATGTAGGCGAGCAGGAATTGCGAAAGCTACTTCAGCTCTTCTTTCCCTTGTGAACGTTTAATGTGGACTGCCTTTAGGTTACCATTGTCCTTTTTAACTGCATATTGTAATATTAAATTAAGTATATACGGACTATCATGCAAACAACACCAAAATAACAGTTTAACGACAACAAAGTAATTGTTTAGCATCGAATAATCTGTTTTTAACTCCATATTATATTAAGAATATACGGAATATCGTACCTACATATGACCCCAAAGTATTTTCAAAATAATATTTTATGAGGTAGAATGTCAAAGTTTTGCGATTGGTTGACAGAATCAAATTACGTTGAATTACGTTTTTCCTGAGCTCAACTATCATTTCTCCACTGAAGCTAGATATGTCAGAAAATTGTGAGAGCAGTTGGCAATAAATTATGAAAGTGATTATAAGTTTCATACAAACCATTTCCTATACTAAAAGCAATACTTGTTTCTCGTAGCCATATGCGAATTTCATTATTTGTTTCATCGATCATTGTTTTCTATCGAAGCTAAATAAAATTGTTTAATATGAATAACTGAAAACTAGTTTCTATCGCATCTAGCTATAACTATTAGCAGTAATTAACTTCTAGTGTAACCTAAGTCCAAAATGGTTTGTAATGCAAGAGTTCTGTTTTTGGATGCATCATTTATGAACCCTAATGCTCATATATCCTCTGCACGAAACTTTTTACTGGGGCTGTGTTTCAAAAGTATCCTACCGAAATTTAGAAACAGAAACTTTATTAAATGTATCATTTTCTTTATAGAAGTCAAACCAATTACTATGGCATTACTTGACGCGTCTGTATGTCAATTTAGGTTATATACTTATTATTTAGAATTGATGTTTAGGGACCCTCTTCAACTAATGCTGTCAATGAGACCAATACGTGATGATTTAATAGTTTTAGGTAAATATATGGAATGATGGATGAAGGGAATGATGATGGGAAGATGAGTGACAGGAGGACGGGACACACGAGAAAACTTGCTGAGTGCTCTTTTTCTTCGCCACAAATTTGATGTGGATTGGCCGAGTATCGAACCGGAACTCTTAAAGAGATTTCATTCAGTCTTGTAACAGGAAAAGTAAAACCTTTTGAAATGTTTCTTCTCTCTACATTCACCAATCCCTATATTTCATTTTTTTTTTTGAATTTTTCCTCTCGTACGTCTACTCGATGTGGCTCATTTTGAGAATCTGCGCCGTGTCATCTATACTAGACTTTCCCAATTTGTTCGATTTAGGGCACCGTGGCCAGAAAAATGGCCTGAGACATATTCGTAACTTCTTACTCCCTCGACCCTCTCCCTTTACATCTTTGAGACAACCTTTTCATGAATCTAATAGTCCCGCAACTGAACTTAAAAGTGTTGTACGTGACCCACGGTGTAAGCCTCCGTGCTCTGGGCGGTGCTTCTATAGACACTCGTTCGACCAGGCCTGATCTCCCCTATAGCGAAGAGCCAGCTACCGCAGCCCAAGAAGCGAACAATATGTTCTGGGGAATTTGCGCTCTATCATCTTCACTAGGCCTGTCTAGCGTTGCTCCCACTTCCTCCCTCAACCCTCTCTCTTTTTCCCTTGAAAAACGGCTCGTCGCACCCTCTTGTATAAAAGCAATAGTCCCGTGAATTGAAGTATTGCGCGTGGTCCTGGTGGCAAACCATGCTGATCGCAGCGTTCAGGGCCACTGTTTTGGCCAGGCCTGACTGAGCTTCTGATCGAAAAATGGGTATCACCAGTGAATTCGCCATAACATTACGTGCTAGGAACGTGGTTTTCAGAAAAATCCGTAACATGTCGAAAATTGGCAAATTTCGTCGATCCCCTACAGAGAGTTGCCAGTTCCCACGGCCCAACAGTCGCCCGATGCATTCGTCCTGACGGAGCCTCTTTGCGAAGCCGCTGGCGAGGAGAGACGGCGCGAGAAGGCGTGGTGCGGCGGCGGCGCGGAGGTGGCGCGGTGCGGGGTCACCCGTGTTACGCGTGGTGCGGCCGTGCGCGCGTCGGTCACGCGGTCCTCACGCTGTGGCAGCTATCACGGGGCCATCGCCGCTGCAGCCACGCCCCTCTGGGTCGCCGGCCACGGAGACAGGACGGCTCGGAATAAGTGTTACAACGTCTGGGGAATGTAGGGGGGGGCGTCGAAGTTTATCATTTTTCTGTCAATGAACGTGTGATGGGAAATTTAATATAACGAAGTTACACACGTGGTATTTGCCCCCTGATTGGTAGGTAACTCGTCATGCTTTGGACCGGGAGAGGCGGCTCAGGGCATCTGATGTCACTGCAGTGCCTCTGGTCGGGAGGGTCTTGGGTTCGAGTCACGATGGTGGCAGGATTTTCGACGCTAGTGATGGAGCTAGGTCGAATTCAGCCACTGTCTGCAGAAGATGTCTAGCGGCCGGCTGCTCTGATCGGTAGTTTTCCGTGGTTACTCCGATCAATTGGGCGAATGGCGGAGCAGTATCCAAGAAAACGGGCCACGGACTACGCGCGACCTTCTCTTCCCACACCTTGTCCCATTCTACCCGTTACTTACACACACTTACACTAACATGCACTACACTACCACACGTGCCGGGAGACCGGTTGGGAGCTTAGAGCTTGACTACTAATGACGATAGTAGTATACGTGTCCATGTACACGTAGGCTTCCGCGGCTCGAGTCCATTACTTCTAGGCTGTCCGGGTGACACCGCGTCGTCGGCCTATCTGCCAACGACGCGGCGTCACCCGGACAGCCTAGAAGTAATATACGTGTCCATGTCTGTCAGTGAGGAAGAAAAAATCCCTTGCGTTCCGTATACCGTTTGTTACCGCAGTGCTTCGAAATTCACCTGGCATTGATCGGAGAAATCACTGAAAACTGCTGTCAGAGCAACCGGCCGCTAGAATTCCACCTCCAGAGAGTGGTTGCATTCAGCAGATGTCGTCCTCTTAACTGACTTTAGCTTTGTT